TATTTAGGGGACTCTTTGACCCTCAGATGAATCTGTCAAATGGCCACAGATCAAAAATAACCGTTCAAAGTCCATGCAGGACTGAGCACATGTCTGATTTTCTGTAGGCATCTGGACCCACCAACCCCCAGATTCAGAAACATCATAAAAATATGATTCCTCAAGAAATAAGGACTGAGGAAGATCTACATGAAAAATTCTCTTTTCACTCAGAAGAAGATATTCTGTCTTCCCATTCCTGCTCCCTCCCTTCAATCAAAAAAGGACCTTTCATCTAGCTGCTTAATCCCTGCTAGCTCCCACCCTCATGCCTTGTTCCTCCCTCGCTCTTCATTAAGCCCTACATAATGTATTTCCAGTCAACACTGACTGGAAATGTAATACTCCCAGCTGCACTGCCAGCACTACTCCCAGTCCTTTCCTCTGCTGGCCTCAGCTGCTGTTATGGTCCAGCTCCCCCAGTTACTTTTCCACACTGGGGAAAGGCTAGAACTGGCAGGAGACTCCAGCAAGACCAGGAACACCCAAGATTTGGGAGAAGGCTGGAAGAGGAGGCTGGAAGGAGTGGGCTGGATCAGAGTTTCCCCCACCTCTAAATTGGTCTCAATGTCCTGTGATTAAATTCTCTCCCTCCTCCCTGCCACAGCACCCTCCCATGGATGCTCTCAAATACAGAATTATTACCCACTGTCCTATGGGGAATTGCACTTTGTAAGAATCTCACTGGTCAGAAGAGCTCAACTTCCAGTTTGTCATCCTTATAATGACCAGATTTTCAGATGTGTTCAACATTTTACATTTATTTGCCAGCTACTCTCTGTAAAGTTTGGTTATAGCAGCCGGAAAGACAAAACTTTATGAAAGGAAAAAATAACTGTAGAAAGAATTTGTTCAGAAAATCAACATCCTGTCCAAAAGTCCAATTCCTATGTGTACTTCAAGATCCTGTGAAAAAGTCACTGATGTTTAATGAAACTTTTTTCAGCAGCCATATCAATTTTATATAGCTATTTTTCTTTGCTATTTGTACATTAAAACATGGTATCTGCATTTGAAGAGTTCATCTTTGATCCTTGCACTATTTTCATCTAACAGTTTTGTGGTTATCTTCATCCTTATACTTCAGATAACTGAAAGTTTCTGCAGGCTCCCTTATTGATTCTCCCTCAATTTTCATTCTCTTCTCAGGCTGGATTTTTGTTTAGACAGGTCATTCTCAAAGCAGAAACTTAACAGAGTTGTATTACCCTGACAGATGATAAACTTCTGCTTCCTCAGCCTGTATCACTTGGGCAGGGCTGTACTGAGGGTCACCAGGAGGAACACTCCTACCAACAGTTGTGGCCACGAGGAATTGAGACAGCGATTCAGCCTCTCAGGGCCTGACAGCACTGCCTCTAAACCACAGATCCCCTGGGTCAGGGAAACCTTGGGACAGACATCCTGGGACTATCTCAATCTTCTGGCACCCCAGAACTTGATGAGGATGCTCTAGCATGGGGTTATGCCACACATCTTAGCTACAGCTGTGTAGTGTGTACGCCTTGACACAAAGAGGTTGCTATAAAATGACTGCTCTGTTCTAAATGTTGCTGGCAAATTGTCGTGAACATGGGAAAGAAACAAGAGTGTTGAGAGCTCTGGGTATAATTGAAATATTTAAATATTATGTATGGTGACGCCTGTAATTCAAAATTTGCTGTGGTAAACACAGCAGAAATTACTGTAGCATAATGTTATTCCATATTCTAAGCCAGATTCTTGAGGTTTATTTTATTTATATCACATGCGGCTGGGAGAAATAACTCTAGGAAGGCGCATACCATATATTTTCTTTTCAAGTTGCCAAAATATGTAAGAGAAATCAATGGCTTAGGACTCTTCTCTATGGCTAGAGATTTATTTTTAACCTCTTGGTGTGCCAAATACAGGAACAATTATTAATCTGTCCTGAAACTGCCGATACAACCTGCTAGGAACAGATGGTGTGAATGAAAAGGCAAAAGTGTCCATTTTTAATATTCAATAGATTAAAAAACTGAAATTCTTTAATCTGATCTAACCTCTTGTGACTGAGGGTCTACGGTATTGACTTAAACACAGTATCAATAGCTTTGATATGAACCTGAATCAGCCAGGGAACTGGAACTTCTGAGATACTTCGTACCTCTAAATGATGCTGCATGTTCCTAGTCTGTGTTGACTTTGGTGGGAGATGAGCACTAAGGGTTGCTCTTTGGCACCTCAAAAACTCCACCCTCAGCAGAGCACCTCATGTTGCAGGTACTGTGTGGCTGCACAACAAGGGTGCTCGTTTAGGTCTGAACTTGCACGGTAGTTAAGAACCGACTCCTGTCAATGCCTAGGGATGGAAAAGTATTACATTACTAGATATTATCTCAGTCTTGCTGTACTTATAAATCTCAATTACACCATCAGGAAGTCTTGCCAGCCATCGTTTGGATACAGTTGGCACAAACACACACAGAGAACAAACCCAAAAAATCCCAAACTGCAAACCTGCTTTATTTTTCAATTAGTTAAGGATTGTGGAAACCTGAGTCTTGCAGCCTATGGTGATGTGTACTTCTAGTGAGGCTGCGTTTTGCCTTGTGTGCCACTGCTGGTGGGGGGAGACTGTCAGCAGCAGGAACACAGAATTTCACAACTTCCCCTGAGAGATGGATCTCAACCACAGATTCAAACTCACCTCACCTATGGGAAAGGCTGTGTCTGAATTTTAGGCTTGGGACTGCTCGTTATTTCTTTTAATATCTCTGCAGCCCAGATTTATTTGTGAGAAACAAGGCAGGGGGAACTCAAAGCCACATCAGCAGCTTGTATGTAAAGACAGTGCTATTACCAAGGTGCAGGTGAAGGACAGCCTGAAGTTTTTGCATGAATAATTTCCCAGGTCAGGTATCCTGTCACTATGTACTTGCCAAGCAACTGCAGCAGAGGTGGACAGATGACAAACTCTGCCTGCATGCCTCTGGGAGAAATGAAAACTCTCTCTGCAAACCAGGGGCTGCAATTTGAGAAGCTGCTACTTTCTCTACTTTTAATGTCTTTATTGGTACTTGTCTACATAGGACCCTGTCATCCTGGCAGGCCAGCAGCTCTTCACCCACAAATCCCAGATCTGGTCCAGGCTCCCTCCTGCAGTTGTTCCGCTCTCCTCAAGTGTGGCCCCTCTGCCCCTTTCCGCCTACGTGTCCGCACACAGAAACCACTGACCACGGTCAGGCAGTCCCCTGACAATACAGCATGTGGGAAAGCTCTTCCAGGGCGAACGGCAGCCTTTCAAGAGCTCAGGCCAGAGAGTAAAGGCCGATGCACCATGGGAGAGCACTGAAAGGACATTTAAGTTTTCTGATGAAGGGAAAATGAGCTCTCCCCTGTGGGTTTTTCTCTGGAGGCTACACAAGTGAGATTTCTGAATTGAAGGAGTGGAAGAAAAAGTAAAAAAACATTAAAAAGTAGTCAGCTAGAAAGATGTAACTCTAATTTAGCATTTTATCATAGTGATGCTAGGTTCTGCTATGAAATGGAAGATGCTGGGAAATGCCACCAAAGATTCACTTAAATGTCCTGTACAGCCCTTGCCTTGGTATCAATGCTTTACTTTTCCCATGGTGCTTTCCAGCATTCAACTCTGCATGGTCAGATTCCTTATCTGAACCTGGAGTTTTGCAGTGTTTCATCTTTCATGGTCTGAATTGTATGAGTTTATATTGAATTTCTAACCCGTAGTGAGGAGACCAGACTATTACATGAAAGTGGTGCTGAATGTAAAACACATCACACCATCGAAGCCTCTTTCATGAATATGTTTCATTTTGAAGTTGTATAACAAAGAAAAAAAGAAAGCCACACCTCATGAGCATTTGCAGTGATGTCTACAGAATTTCTTACTGTGAGGAGATTTTTTTTTTTCATTATTGTGTTGCAAGTCTCTCTGTCTCCCTGGCTACTAGTAGAATTCTGCACTATCATCCATGAATGAAGTCTGAATATCAGCGTATATATCTCTGAATGTGTCCACAAAACATAGGTTTCCTTAGGGTGAAGATATTCTGTATCCGTGTGGAAAACAGCTTCAGCACTTCTGTGAATGATAGAGTCTCCAAAGTACAACCAGCTCTTGTCATCACAACATGGCAACTCTGAAAAATAAATGAGAGGTCAAAGACTTGATATGAGATTGCTCAGATCTTTGTAGAAGTGGAACTAGGATTATCTTTCTTTTTTTATTCTCTGTGTGTATCATAGTTCTCATTCATATTTCTCTTATGTGTGGTGAAAAACAGTTAACTGTTAAGCTTTATTATATTACTGCAAATAGCCCAGATCTCTAGTTTGTCTGCTAGATCTCATCGCCTCACTTAAAAACTTTTTTTGCTGGTTTGTTCTCAGAAAAGAGAGTTTTCCATTCTCTAGTAGCATTTTAAAAGGGAAAAGTCCCGAACCGAATAAGCCCTTAGAGCTCAAGGGAAACATCTCCAGTACTATCTGCAGAGGAAACGGGAATCTCAGGGAGTTCCAGGTGCTGCCCCACCTTTGCCATGCCTAGTGCTGCTGCAAACACGAGCAATCAGTGCCAGTAAATATCTCTCATTGCAAGGCAGCCCGGGACCCAACACTGGACAGGAGCTTGCGCCATCCTTGGCACAACTAAACCTGATATGAGCTTAGCAGAGACAAAAGACGCTTGAACCAATGGGTGATGACTTATGAGCACTGAGGGAGGAAGTCAGCCCACCACAAGCAAATTTTTCTGCTGTCTAGTTGTACTAGGAAAACACTGCAAAAACAGAGAAAAAGCCAGAAAATGGGAAATTACATCTTCAGGGTTTGGGGGTTTTTTTTTAAATCATGTTTCAGTCCACTATTTGATATTATTCTTTTTTTGGTTTTATTATTTAAAAAGGAAAAACAAAACATTTTTCTTTTTTTTTTTTTTTTTTTTTTTTTTTTTTTTTTTTTTTTTTTTTTTTTAGTCTATATATGGAACCATGCAAGGTATGGATTATACAGAATAGCCCAGCCCCATTTTGAAGTAAGAGGAGAGAAAGGTCAGCATTTTACAGGACTGAAACCTAAGTACCACCAGACTTCCTGACAACATGTAAACTGAAGGAAAGTCTGCAATAACTTAACCTTTTTTTGAATGAGTGCCTGGTGCTGGAAGGTATCTAGAGCCATTGACAAGAAAGGCATCTGAGGACACTTAGCATTAGCCAGGCAATATTTAACATCTTCCAAGATCAGTGTCTTGGCAGGCAGAAGCAGAGATGTAGATTTTTTAGCATCCAAAAAAAGAAAGGTGAAGGGTTCATCCCAGTTCTAGGTGGTATTTTAAAGCTAGCATGGTTAAGGCATGCCCAGTGCTGTTGCCAGCGGCTTGCAAACCGTTCACTTTTGAATTTTTCCTGTCTGAAGGACCAGATCAGAGTTGGAGTTGGCATTTAGCACAAATATAGAGCAGGTTTCAAGCTTACACCTCATTTGTTTCATCATCAGACCATTTGTATTTTCTATAGATCTTAAAAACAAACTCTTCCATACTTCAGCTCATCTAAATTGCTCAGTAGTCCTCTTGATACAGGTGAGTGATGACTGACATCAGTTGATGATCTACTCTTCCATTGGTAATTCTGAGATTTAGCCTTTTTGCAACAAAATCACAGAGAATTAAGCCATTTGTGGCAATGACTATAGTCAAAGACTATGAAATAAAACCAGGTGCATGTATAAAATAAAAGTATCCATTATATGATCACATATATGTATATATTTATAAAAATTTCAGAAGCTCACTTGCCAGAATTCTAAAACTGGTGATGAGATGACAGGTGAGAAATATGAAACTTTCAATTCACAGATAGTTTTCCCTTTATGGCTCATGTGATTGTATTTGAAAAAATATTTCTATGAAAATTAAGAAACTTGAGTCACCACCCACACCCAAGATATATATGTATGTGTTCATGTGTATATGTAGGAGTGGTATATATAGAGAGACATATATGAAAGATATAAAGAAAGAATATTATGGAAGAAAAACTGTTGAATCTTATGATCATTAGCACTGAACCCCATAATGTCTTGGAGAACTCAGAGCTAACCCTAAATAACAATAAATCTACTTTTTGTTGGAATTTCAAAACTATTTTATTATTTTCTCTACTATGTTGCTTTGAAAACTACACTATGTTTTCACTTGCCTGCCTTCAACACAGTTTAGTTGCCACTTATGTGATGCAATTTACACTCCATTAATTCCAACATTTCTGGTAGAATAACACCCAGAAAAATAGAGTATGATATTCTGGCATTATTTTATTCTATCTGTATTGAAGCAAAGGAATCATTTAAATTCCAAGAACTGAGCTGGCAGAAATTATTTTAGCTGCAGGAGATAAAACTAAAGATAGTGTTAAACCTTCATTTATAAAACAGAAGTCTTCTGCACACACAAACCCACATTTGCATGTGTAATGTAAGTTGATTCTTCCTCAGGGGATATTTTGCCAGTGTAAGCATGAAAGAATACTGGGTCAGCTGTTAAAGTGGTGCACATGCATAACTTGCAAATTTTATTCGATCTGTTGTGTACAAATGTGTGAATCTGAACACAGAGCAGCAAAAACTTCAGATCATGAGGTGGAGGTGGAGAAACCAACTACAATAATGAAATATCTCTTTCTCCATCATTCTTAAATTCTCAAAGGTCTGAGGCAGGTCTGGATCTATTGCACACCTTTCTGTAGTAACAAAGCATTTTAATGGCAATTCATATTTTGGAACAACATGCCTATTTCCCCTTATCAGCAAGATGTTTGCCCTTTTTTTTTTTTAATACATTACTGATATGTATTTATATATAAATATATATTTATATGCATGCTGATATGTATTTATATAATAAACAAATATTATACAGACTTACAGAATATTTATCATAGAATCTAGACTATGCATGCCTTAAGAGTAGAATACAAACTGGTTTATATATATTTTGCAGTATATGAGAAAATTTTCAAGTGCAATGCCTAGTTCATTGCAGATCCAAGTGTAGCCACGGCACTGCTATGAATACTACTGATGGTCAGTATTACTGGATTGCAGGATTACTATGGTCAGTAAGTGTCCTCAGTTGCCAAGAAAATAGACAATCGTTTCTTGCTGCTGTATAATATTCAGGAAATACACTTGACAACTGAGAGAATTCAGTTGGTCCTGCTGTAGTAAAACTGGTGAAGATTCAGACTTCCCATTAGATAGAACAGCATTGCACTGTGGTTGAAACACTTCTTTTTTAATGACTAGTGAAATCACACAGTGCCTGGGTAGTAAGCTCTATCACACAGGCAAAATCCACTATATTCTTACCAGAAGACCCTCTGCCGTTAAGCTGCTATCTGACCTAAGGCAGGCTCCGTAGCTTTCCCTGTATGTAAAGTGAGAATAATGTCCTTTGCAGGATGCGTGTTTATTTATTACAGCAATATGTATAAGTATTAATAAGCTTATTTCTGTCTGCCAAAAAAATTACTTCTTCAGTTTTTATCAGTGAAATACAGTCAAGTCATCCAATAATTTGCTTCTTTGGCATACCCTCCACTTGCTATAATGAGGAATAAACCAAGAGTATATCTCAAGAAATATATGGTTAGAATTAATGCTTTTATGTTTTACATATTTTGTTATTTTTGCCTCAAATCACAGTTCAGTTCAGCGTGATCTGACATGGTTGAAATACTGAAACCCCCACTCCTCCAAAGCAGTGTTTATTATAGAAACCACAAACTTAACCTAACCTAGAGCAGCTTTTCCAGCAGTGATATAATTACAGTAGTTATTGTTGCAATAAACCAGATGTTCCTGAACTGGAATGAAAGCACTCCCCCCCGCATTACATTTGTTACATTGCCTCTTTTCAAGTTTCACATCAGCTGTTCAGAAAGCTCTTTCCTGGTTGAGTGTCACTTACAGATTCTTGCATGAGTCTTGTAGTGTAAAAGAATGAAATACTGGCAGGCTTCAGATTTTCATTGCTTTCCTTATAACCTCAAACATGACAGTTATCAATGTCACTAATTCTTGCCCTGGTTTAAAGACACTTTTTGTCCTTCAAGACACTTTTATTCAACTAAAAAAACACTTTGAAAAACCCACTTATCTTTCACATTGAATGAGGACATTGTTCTGTACAAAAAGACATGTCCCACTCCTACAAAGCCGATGAAGCTGGCCGCAGACTGCAGTGAAGCCATCATTTTACCCCACCATGTTGAGCAACTTAGTAGTTAGGCAACGTGGGTAGCTTTGGAGAAACGCAATCTTTTAACCGCTGTATCAGCTGTGGTTGTAATCGTGGGCCATGAACAACCATTCAGCCCGGACCAAGAATATCTATCATTACTTAAACATTACACATCTTATATTTTTAACAGCGTGTTAGTCAACACATTTCTAATATTTCCCAGCCCAATCAAGTCCTAACTGTAAAAATATGTTGCCAATAAAGAAATGAACTGTGTTTAAACTACTAGGATCTTAGACATGAAAGCTGTTATATATATTTTATGTGTGCAAGAAATCCTGTCTCAGAATGAATATGAAAAGTCAAGAAGTCAGAAGATTGCTTTATGACACTTACTGTGCCATATAATAATACAATAAAGAAACATAAACTAGACTTCAGGTTTTGTTTACTTACAGGTAAGTTCTCATGAAAATACAGGAACAGTAAGAATGAATTATCTTATCAACTATCTGAACACGTCATGGCAATCCTGGAAGAAACCTTTGTAATGTTCAGTTATATGTGCTGCTCATTTTTCTGTTCACTAATGGTAAACTATTAGTCAGCCCATCCCCGTGGTAACTGTAACATAACAAGGGAGACGAAACAGGGACAAATTCACCCCGTGAAGTGGTCTGCTAAATTTACACTTTGTAAAATGTAAATGTTTCTTATAGAAGGAATTTACATGACTCTGAAACACGGTCCAATTTTTCACTGATGTGGTAGGGGATGCAGACGTTGTTGGCCTGATTTTACAAAAATCTTTGAAAATGGGCCATAAAATAGCTGAGGAAACCCAAGAGACACCCACACGTTTGGAAGCAGATTATAAGACAGCTCTGTTGCTCAGCCACAATCAGCTCCCTGCTTTCAAAAGAAACGGTATCAATTTCACATTTTTTGCTTTCCTAATGGGAATGTGTCAGAACTGAAATAAATAAATAACTGGGACCCATGTCCAGGAAGTCTTGACATCTTTCCCATCACGGAGGCTGGGAGGCCCCTGCGCTTCCTCCCTGGCCATGACATGCCCGGTGAATATTTCCACCACCCACACTTTATTCATTCTTAACCCTCCTCACCCACTCATCATTACAGCTGTGCAAAGCATCCATTACAAACCCTGAAGCCATCTGAAACCTACCTTTATAACTTTGTTATGTGCTTCACACACAGCTGGGATTGGTTGGACTTTTGGTAAATTAGCTTTCGAGACAGTCGACCCCCACTTTCATGCAAATTTGGGCCCAGGTTAAGGTGAATGATTTATGGGTTGAGTATTTTGAAAATCGCTGAGAGAGTTTCATATCACTGCATCGTGCTTCACTGCGTAGATCTCTGTTGTATTCATGGAAATCAAAAAAGATATGTATATAGTACACTGCAAAAGGGAATAATAATAGCAGTCAGATCCCAAATGTGCTCCATGCATTGCAAACAGTTCCTGGCCTGAAGGACCTGGGCGAAAAAAAAAAAAGAAAAAAAAAGCTCTCTTTCTCTCTTTTTAACTCTTTAACACTTACTGCTTCAAAGTGTAACTAACTCATAAATTTTTTATTACATTCCTTCGTTTAGCACATATGCATGCCACTAGCATTTCAATTAGATACGAACTCATGCAAGGGGTTGCTGTAACAATGCTCTCAGACAGGAAGTATAGGGAAATCCAGACTACAAAATTTAGATTCAAAGCTAGATTTTCTGTAGTCAAAATAAGAGATTTATTTGGTTGGTGATGAAAGTTTGAATTTGCAAAATTTGGATTTGGATCCTCGCTGAGACTTTGGCCAGCCCAGTCAGCAAAATTAAGCAGCTTATTGCTAAATGGAGACTAGATTACACCACCCCTGCTGAGGGACATCTTGCTCAGTTAGTTTTCAGAACCATGAGGCAATTTGCTTAAAAACACTGACCGAAATTATAGATAACAAGTTTTTTAAAAAGAGAGATTCGAAGGACAGGATTAAATATAAGAGGTTCTATGGCTTCTTAGTCACACAGTATTGAAGAACCTAATTCTGAATTTTAATTTTTAAAGGAATCCCAGACTATTTAAGGTAGAAGTACCAAGTAAGTCATTTAACATCTTAACTCAAAACAAAAGAACTTCCTTGGTTTCAGTTTGCAGCATGACAACTTTTTATCTGCAAAACAATCTTTTATTTTTTTATTGTGAATGACTCCATGAAGAAGACTGTAAACACTTCATCAGATCCCAACTGTGGAACACCACTTCCTGCTGATACCAAAATATTAATGTAAGTGAAATCCAGAGGGACGGTTTTCTGTGTGTAGTGACAGTTCCTTTGTCATCAGATGACTTCAGTTATTTTTTTTAATCCTGTAATGCCACCTGTTTATCAAGTTGTTTTCAAGATAAGTGGGGAATAGTCTTGAAAAGTTTGTGTAAATCTTGAAAATGGCTTGAAGTGGAGTTGTCTTGGACTTATGGTCATATTAAGAAAAGTATCGAGGCATGAGATTCAGCTGAGCAAAGGTAGATAGACACGTCGTAAGCAACAGTATCTGAACTGGTCACCATGGCATGAGGCACTGTTGGGTCTCAATTCTCATTCTCCTGGATGAATCACAGCTTACATATGTCTGTTTCTTCCCATCAGCTACGAGGGGAACGTGAGTGACCAGCTGATGTGTCGCTAAATGTCTGCCTACCTCCACATTGGGTGAGGCGACCTCTGCTCCCGGTGTCTGCTGAGTGCCCTCTGCAATGGAAAATTTGGTGGAGGAGGAAAGGAGTCAGGACAAACATGCAGCACTATAGAGGTCAGTGCTTTATCCTGTTTTGCTAAAAGTAGAATTCTTCCCTTGGTCAAGAATCATTAAATAAAAATAGTATGTAAAGGATCAGCATGGAAACATTAACAGTAAATGACAAGACTATCAGAGGTGCTCTGTGAAGAAATGAGTCACAAAAATAAAATAGTAGCAGCTAGAATGGCAACATTAGAACCCCAAAGTAGTGTATTTATAACAGTCTTTAATCACCACCTTCATGTCCCTCTGTTATTCACAGTTGTCGAAACATTACATTCACCTTTTGCTTAGGGCTTGGTTTTGTGAAGTGCTGAGCATCCTCATCTCACATCAACATCAACACGTTGTAGACTTATACCCAGGGAGTGATAAAACACGGCACATAATGTTTCGTATTGCATATGTGTGGATGGCTGCGAATCAAGGAAACAGTTGCTTTTAAATAAATGATGTGAGACTAGAAAAGTGATAACATAATGCATGATTTGAGAGCAAAATCCCAGCGCCTTTAAATTCATTTCAGTAACAGTAGAGTGGTGCCACTAACAGCGCTGTTCTGAGGAGTCAGTTGGCATTTCCACTGTATCATCTTGATTCTTGGGGTTGTTATCTCTGTCATTTCAAGTTATGCTGAGCTGTAACTTAGTGTGGAAAAGAAATATAAATTGCTGAAATGATGGGATTTCTCTCTCCTATCTCTACATTAAAAAAAAAAAAAAAATTACATTTTATGAACAATTTGCCAAGCCTCACATCATAAGCACCTTCCTTTTAAATGGATGGATAATAAAAAGGAAGACAAAGGAGATAAACAAGTTCAATAGTTAAAGGATTTGCTCAACAAAGATAGCCCTTCCTTTACATAAGTTTTTTTGTTAAAAAATGAGAAATACAAGTCTCATTTAACAATGATATGAACAACAACACACAAAAAAAATGCAGGCAATTAGTAATGAATGCTCAAGTAAATGTATGTTCCAAAAAGAGGTGTC